GAAAAAACTAGAGAAAAAAAAAAAATTTTTAAAACTTTTAAAAAAAAAAAAAAAAAAAAAAAAAGCAAGGGGAGGGATGTGGCACTCGGGGTTTTCCATGAAAACTTTCCAAACTACTCTGAAATTCCTATATTTTCCCAGCAGCTTTGATGACATTCCAGACATCTAACGTGCACAGCATTTACAGTAAGTTATTTAATGGTGTTTGAAGTTGATTCTAGAGCCAGAGTTACTAATCTTAAAGTTATTTTAAAAATGTGCTAAACAGATCTTAAATCCGACATGGAACAGCCCTTGATTTGTCGGATATTCAGTTTTCCTTTTGATGTCACAGAATAAGAGTTGAAATGTGCATTATCTTTACTCTACAGTCTTTTCCTTTATTTTTTTATTTAACCGCTTTCCAAACTTGTAAAATGATTAAATCGAATCGCCCTCTCTTCAAAACCGTGTAGAAACCTAGGAAATTAGCCAGAATGTTCATCCCTCGAGTATTTCACAACATAAATTGGTTGGAAAAAAACAAAGAAATCAAAGCAAAGCACAGTCAACTTCACTTCATGAAGGTTCCAACTTCTCAATAACAAAAGATGATGAAAATCTTAACTGTTAACCCACCCACTTCTTTGTGTTTCTAAACCATGCGAGGATCAAATTGTCTTAGCCCTTCCAACAAGGGGTCAAAGTTAAAGTCAAACACTGCGGTTGTAAAGGCAAATGCACGTTATGGAAAACAATGAAGGTCAAGAAGACCTTTGCAGAATCCCATCAGAATTACTGGACGGTACAGTCCAACAGGCAGGACACCAAATGGACCTTGAGGATTCTCCTCTTTCCTTTTCATTTAAAATCAAAAACTAAACAAGTGGACTGTGGCCAGACTTCCTACAGGAGCGTCACCATTCCTCCTCCCTTAACTTGCATCCAACTCAGTTCAGCTGGCCAAAACCCCGACCCACCTCGGTCATCAATTGCACCTTTAGCTCTCTTTTGTCTTCTATAGTGAGCTCAATCAGATCTGCTAGGAGTAGCCCTTGTGATGAAAAAGTTATGAAAACTCACCTGAATTACATTGTGAAGACAAAAATAGCAATCACAAATCTTAGAGAAGTATTTCAACAGCTACCCGGAAAAATACACGATATGGGATTTGTACCAATAGCCAACGCACATCCTTAAAAATTTTCCCAAAAATCTGAAAGAATCTTTAAAACAGCAAATATTTAACCATAAAGTTTTCTTTTTTTTTCTTTTTTTTTTTGTCTGTTTTGATTTGCATAAAGCACAAACCTGACATTGAAACATTATTTTCCCCCGATCAGCAATTACGTCAAAACCGACCCGCAAAAACTAAACATGACGCATCATCAGAAAGATAGAACACTTGTCCATAAAATAGTTTGGATATTTTACAGCAGTATAAAAATTTTTCCATTAACAAAGTTGGAAAAAACATGATCTGAAATAAGGTTTGGAATACTGAATCAACAGAGCTGTGATAAATAATAGTAAAAAAAAATACCCTATTTGATCACGGTGTGTTTATTTTTGGAAAAAAAGCCCCATGAATGTTCAGGACCAATCGAAGCTTAAACCAGCAACCTAAAAGCTGTAGTTCCCCGACATCTTACTATGATAGTGATCTGGAATAACCAATTGCATTTTAAAAAAACAAGAAAACATGATTTCAATTACATGACCAATTCAGACTTCGACATTTAAAAAAAAAAAAAAAGCCCCTGAGAAACATGGGAATCTGACCCAACTGATTTTAACATCAGATCCTTAATCTCTTTTCTCAATAAGTAACATTTAAAGAACGGACATTATACTGGTGACAAACTAATATATATATTTTAAAAATGATCGACCCCAGATAGTTTGAGTTTGGCAACGTGAAAACTCCAACAACAGCAATAAATACCACTAGTGTTGTCACTGACCATTTGCAGAATTGAGAGTTAAATTGCGACTTTTTCTCGTGTACTCCTTTGAGTAGTCATCTTCAATATAATTAACAGACAAATAATAGCGGAAATAACCTGCTCAAGAAGTTAACATTTCTGAATATATCTAAAGTGAAGAGAGAGCATTTAGTCATCTTTGTAACAGCCCTCACTCTGTGTGGGCAGCATCAAAACCTTATTTACATTCAATAGAGCTTGTCTGCTCTGGTGGAAATCAGGGTGATTAAAAAGAAAAGAAAAAAAACAATTGGAGTTCCAGGGAACTAAGTACCTGACTGCACCTCAGCATTGCCTAGTTGCAATATTTCAAAATTAGTCATCCTTCGCAGATAAGCGGAGTCCAGTAATCTGCAGCCTGGTGTCACAAACCCATGCTGTAGTGTATAGCATGCATGAGAGAGCCCTTTGTCCACAAAGGCTTGTTCTACCCAGAGATGCCCCCATCCCACTCCTGTCTACCTCTAACACTAAAAAAAAATGGAAAAAAAAAATGATAATGTGGTGTAGAAAAAAGGTGAGCCAAACAGAGAGCCAAGAGGTGTGCCGGAGGCATCCAAAAAGAGGACAAAAGTGTTTAAATGTGTATCATTTGTGACTGTGCAAGACCAGCAGTTGGTAAAAACCACAAAACAGGAAAATCATATCTCTAAATTGTCAACAAACCAAACACAACCGCATGAAGAGAAGGAGCAAAAAGGGATAAGCGTCTGGTAAAGAATGAAGCGTTGCTCGTCTCTTTGTGCAGCAGTGTGTTTCATGCAGGTGTTCGTCTCCGGAGGGCAACTCCTGCACCAAAGCGTGTCTTGAGAGGCCGGCGTCTCGCTCGCGGATCCTCCCTTCACACCAAGTTGTACTCTTTGAGATTGAGCTGCAAGATGGTGTCTTTGACAGCTGCGAAGACGAAGCGGATGTTCTCCGTGTCGGTGGCACACGTGAAGTGAGAGTAGATTATCTTGTCACTGTCAGGGTTCAAGTCCACAAACATCTTCAGGATGAACTCCCGACCCGCCTGAGCGTCCCGTTGAGGACCTGGGAAAACAACAACCATCTCATGATTACGCTCAATAGGAATGTTGTTTTTTATTTTCATAGACACCAGAGAATCTTGTCATTTTGTCCATTTTTGCCCAAAAAAAAAATCAACATGGGAATCACTTTGAAAGCCTGAAAAAAGCAATAGAGAACAAAAGTAAAAAGTTCAGCTTAGTGTATATAGTGATACTTTACAGCAATAAGTCTGTGAAAGAATGTACATATACGTTTAAGAATTTATTTTGTATTGTAGCGCACCCAACAACCACAAGATGTCACTCAAAAGTAAAAAAAATAAAATAAGATACACCAGCAGCTAAAAGGTGAGAAAAAGCACATCACTTGAACATTTTATTTAGCGACACTAAATCTGTGCCAACGTGAAAAAAGTGAAATGCAAAGTAATCATATTACCATCGAACTCTGGAAAATAGTCGACCAGGTGAGAGAACATGATTTTCTCCTCCAGCAGGTCTTTCTTGTTGAGGAACAGAATTACAGAGGAGTTCTGGAACCAGGGATATGTGATGATGGTCCTGAACAAAGCTTTGCTCTCCTCCATACGGTTCTAACAGGAAACAGAGTTACAAATTCATCTGCTGGGTCACAGTCATTTGTTGCCGCCTTATATGAACTAAACATCTCTGCATCTTCTTGGATAAGGTAAATATAAGCAAATTATATTTAACCTTGCCAAGGCTACTAAAAAAAGTTGAGAAAATCTGATGGAAATTATTCATTCATTTTAAACAGTTCCTGTTTCAAGATGCAGCTCAATCTGGGGAATATAGATTTAGAATCTTATCACAACTTTTTATGATATTTATTCTGATAAAAAAAAAAAAAAATACGATTACAAAAGGGAGTATTTGCAATTTATTTGCAGTCTTTTTTAAGCAACTGTAGAATGGCGTATCGTTTTGAAACACCCTGGAATAAACAACTCTAGGTCTGACTTTCCTAATTTGTTTCTTGGTCTTCATGATGCCATTTTTCATAAATTTTCCCCAACAAACCCCTCAGGTTTTGAAAAAAAAAAAAAACATCTCCATTTATACATTAGTTTAAATTAAACAGAGTTGAAGTTTGTTTTTTGGGTTTTTTTTTAATGGCACCATTTTGTGGTTGCCTTATGAAATAAATGAATATGATTTAATAAAAAAATTTTACTGCAAGAAAAAAAAAAAATCTAAAAATCCAGAGCAGCTGTGAAAAATGGAGCGTTTATGTTTTACCTCATTGTCGGACTCCACCAGAACCTGGTCGTACTCGCTGAGCGCCACCAGAAACATGATAGAGGTGACGTTCTCAAAGCAATGGATCCACTTCCTCCTCTCTGACCTCTGACCTCCAACATCCACCATCCTGATAGAACAGGATGGGGTAGATCAAATGGAAACACATAATTACAATCAATTCTATGTCTAGTTGTCATTAATAAGGCCGCAATAGTAAAATAGTAGATAATATTTAGGTTTAGTAAATTGAAACATTCGAAATGCAGAATGCACATGTCTCTTATTGAACAGTTTAATATAATAATGCTCAGAGTTAACAGGAATGATTGAAAAATTTTATAAGAGAGCACCCAATGAAATAATTTAGTAAAGAATCAGGGTTAAATCAGAACATAGGGGTTGGGATTTTTTGAAGAAAACCGTTTTAAGTTTAATTTTTTTTACTCATTAGTAGACAGGTGACCACATTATAGAGCATCACTACAAATCCCTGACTTCAAAACCCAGTATCATATAAATCCTGCTAACCAAACAGCCTGTTTTAACAATAAAGATAAAAATAATGACCAGAATCTCTGAAAAAAATAGTGTGGACAGAGCAAATCCTCCCTTGGATTAAGAAAAACTAGCGACAGAGACGTAAAAAATGTACAAGCAACGGGGAAAGTTCACGCAGAAAGCAACACTTATAGATTTTAAAACATGTTTAAATTTTGATTATAATGCAGCACTCCTCGACTCGGGTTACTTTGTAGTATGTATTTGTTTTAGATATTGCTTTAATGGGTCTTTTAAAATGAAACCAAGTGAAAGGACTTGAAACATGAACTACTGGTTTTAAATAGAATCAAACAAAGTAGCAAAAATCAATCTTTTTCCTTTAAACAGGATTATTACGCATTTTCCATGTACATAGTGTCATTTAATAGCACAATTAAGTAACGATTACCTTCATAATAAATATTCCATCTAAATAAAACATGAAATACGTAAATTTTACATAATAGCTCCACTTTCATGATGGGGTACTAAGCTAAAACTCACCGTTTGCACCATCAATCTATAAAAGGTGAACTGACCAGAAAAAGCAACAGCACAGATAAAATCAAGTTCCTCCAAAAGTCAGCCCAAAAATAAAACCCCGTCATAGAAGACCTCCGTTCCCGCCTCTAGAAACAACAAGTGACCTACTTAGCTCCATAAGCTCCCCTATGTTAGCCAAACCACACGTTCTGTTACGTTTAACGCCAAATAAGAATGAAGGAAGCCACCCTAATGGAGATTCTTGTCCAAACAATTGTAACCATCTCAGTCAACTGTAAGCAGAGCCAGTTTAGACCCACAAGGAGTTTTATTCTTCTAGCTATACATCAGCTAAAGAACACCTCATCGTGCATCAAACCAGCCATGTAATTAACAGCAAGAATGTGACAACGCATCACTAATAAATCACTAAAATTAAATCTGAATCAACGCTTTCCTCCCATTAAAACCCACCTCAATCTAAACCCTCAAAGCCTGCAGCACAAAACTGATGTCATTGAGAGTATTCAATGATTCACCGCCAACCGCAACAGCACAGTCGAGCAGAGGAGAGCCTATCAGCTAAGCTGCAGCGAGGCTGCTGGAAACCTCTTGAACGCAGCCTTATTGCGAGCAGAGTTATTTCTAGCCGTGCCGAACGTGGGAGGGGTCTGACACGATTGCTTCCTATCGATTTGCAATCGCTCTTCTTCCCTTAAAAAGAAAAAAAGGAAGCGACTCACAAGAAAAAAAAAAAAAATATGAGCCATATTAGCTCCTATGATGCACCCTGAACTTTATAACATTTCTTATCATTGAGATATTAACTTATTTCTCTATGTAGACTTGATTATTTGATCAATTTAGCGATTAAAGTTTGGTTGTCCAGTTTTTCTTTTTTTTATATATATCCAGCACAAACAAGACAGTCAAGTGATTAGGATGCATAAAACAAACACAGTCCACATTTTGGCTCTATTACAATCAGGCCTCTTGCTTGGCAACTATTATTCTCCCTTCTCTGACATTCCTCATCTTCAATGCATTAATTAGACACAAACCTTCAAAGATCAGCATCAGAATTCACTATTCCACCAACAGGAAGCTCTGACAACATCCAAAAAATAAGTGTTTGATAAGATGAACCAAACTGTAAATTCAATTAAAACATTTTTTATTAATCTCAAAGGGAGAATAAATTCTGCTGTAACTCATTAATTCAAGGTTCTTCAGAAAGTTGATGTAGACCCTGATGGCAGTGGGCAGGAAGGATCTCCTGTAGCAGTCAGTATTGCAGCGGCTCTGAAAAAGCCCGGCAACATGGCAACCCAGTCAGTAGAAATGCTGCATCTGTAACTACCTTATTTAATTGATTTTATATTTTTTTTTAAATCAGATCTTTCTTTCAAAGTGAGGTAGTTATTAGTCATAGGTATCTTATCTACAATAGTTAAAAGTTTATTGGTTTAGAAGAAATGTATCATTGTGCCTTAAAAAACTTAGAAATGTTACACCAATTTTACCAAGACTTATATTGGTTAAAAATTCTTATTAAATCTTCACTGTCTAGTCCACACAATGTCATTCATAGCTGTGGAGACACTGTGGTTTTCCATTATTAAATGTGATGTAATTTTAACGTTAGATTTTATTTTTAGATCATTGTAGATTTGTATATTTGTTTATTCTGTTTGTTTTTTAAGTTGGATCTTCAGTGTAAAATATTGTTTCCATTTAGTCTAACTAACCATAAGCCTTCTTCAAACATGACTATCAAAGTTAGCTGTGATTTCTATCTACAACATATCTACTGTAAGTAGAGCCTGCTAATAACAGAATCCCATTTCACACAGTCTGAAATCAATTATAAATCAATAATGAAGTCAATAGTAGATAACTAATTTTCAACTGCTATGCACTAACTGCAAAGGTAAATACCAACTGGATGAGATGTTTAATTAGACTTTGGGATTGAATACAAATAAATCCCAATATTCATTTAAATGCTTTGAAACATTTAAAAATGTTTCAGAGCGGCTTAATAAGGATTGAAGCAGAAATAAGGTACAGATGCAGGACTGGTTAAAGCAGTGAATGTTGTCTTCTACCTGAAAATGATGCTTTGCAAGTCGAAAGGGTATTCTATAATCCCAGTGGTTGGGACTCGAACCCTAAGTACGTCCTGCTGGGTTGGTAGGTAGGACGCGTCAGAGATACGACCCAGATCACTTAGGTAGCTAAAGGAGGAAAAAAGTGGAAATAAAAACAAGAGAGAGAAAGGGAAAAAAAAAAAAGAGAGTAAAGCATCACAGCAGATTAAACACCTTCAAAAGTGAGTTCAGATATACCGACATAGGACCATTTTCAAGAGGATAAGGGGTTAGAGCTCCACTTCCTTAGAAATATATCTTTATCTTTGATGGCAGCTCCCAAAGACCAACCAATTAATTGATCTTGCCTGCTAATTTTTTTTTTTACAGACAGTCTTTCGGAGCCACCATTGGGAACGTGTTAGTGCCGAGCATGTCCCTGCAGCGGAGGCTAAATGGAGAAGGAGGTAAAGTTTCCCCACTGGCTGACCAGCCGTGTTATAGTCCGTCAGCCTTTACTGGAAGCACTCGGAACCAGTACCTGAAAAAAATATTCTGCAGGTCAAATGGGTATTCATGGATACCAGTGGTGGGCACTCGAACCCGCAGCACATCCTGCTGGCTGGGCACATATTCTGGTGCCGCTATTCGTCCTAATTCGTCAAGGTAACTGCGAGAATGCAGGGAACATATGACAGAGGCGCACAGAGACAAACTAATCCGTGTCAACATTACAGGCCGATTCCAGCCGACTGCACCAAGAACTGCTGTCATTCAGAACGGACACATAAGAATCACTTAGATGATTACTTCATTTGTATAAATATTGCTGTCCGACTATGAATTAGACGAGTCTTCTTTCCAAACTCAGATCTTTCTAACAGAGCAAAATGAGGCTAATTAACATTTGATTCAAATAAATCCCATTCTTAGGTTCTCTCATCTGCCATAAATGTTTGCCCTCCTTCCAGAAGTGTCCGAAAAAGTCAAATCAATTACAGCACATAGCAGACAGACATACTATTTGGTTGAATCGGAGAGCTGGTACTCTCTCCTACGATCGTAAGCCTCCTTGATCCCGGGATCCTTCCAAAGCATCGTTATCGCACTGATGTACGGCTCTTCAAACGTCGACACCTTTTCCACGTCCACTTCCCGCACCAGAAGGGCGTTATTCTAAAAATACATCAATAAATAAAATCAACAACTAATCATGGTATATAGGATTTTGCATTTTGCTGTCTTCATAACAATCTTCTAGATTCATAGATGCCAAGAATTTTACGTTGTAGCTATCGTAACATTTTGAAATAGAATAAGGTAGATTTTTTAAGTTAAATCAATTTGGGTGCAATGCAAATCGACTACTTTGCAGCCAATTTCATTGTGTTAAAATCTGAAAACATTGTTGAGGCAAGAATCAGTTGTGCAAACTGCTTGATCTGTGTGGGACCATTTCAGGACAAAAAAAAAATAAATGAAATTACAAACAACGTGGCAGATGTTTTGTAAATAATTTGTAAGCAACTGTAGGAAAATATTGCCAAACACTAACATTAAATGTGGAGCAGCAGATTTAAAGCTAAAGGGCTATTTCGCTGTTTTTAAGAGATTGGGAAACTATCACATGATCTGACGGTGCAGATTGATTTATAAAAACGATATATTCCTTATAGCTCTATGAAACTGTCTTGAAAGGGAATTAATTTGGAAAACTGAATGAAGCAGATTTACACAAAAAGTCTAATTATGATAGTCAACCAGGGATCACAAGTCACATCTGTGCAGTTTTGCACAAATCTACTGATTGTGGTTCCAAAAAAAAAAAAAATTTTGACACGCATCCCATTTGTACAGCTGACCTTGTTCTCTTCATTCTCCAAGGGGATCTTGAGGGTTTCGGTGGCACGGATCATGGCCTGCATGGAGGTGAAGATGTTCTGATAGACCAGTTTGGTATAGCTCTTTTTGTCTTCATCTGAGTAGCCTGTCCCGTGGATTATCCTCATCTGTTTGATGAAAGTGCTCTTGCCACTTTCACCTGTCCCTAAAAGACAAGACGATACACAAAATCACCAATCAACTAGTGGAAAACACAAATTTGACTTCACATATTTTTGGTGACCATGAACTAAAATAAGGTAATAGCGGCTAAAAGTGCCGGGCTGCGACTGGGAATGATTAAAAAGAATGTGGTTCTAGTTCTTCTGCAAACGTGAGACGGAGGAATTGGTGCGTAGAGTGAAATCCATTAAAAGATGCAAATAAAAACAGCATTTATAATTACTCCACCTAGGCCTGTCACGATAAATTTTGCTGGACGATTAATTGTCTAAAGAAATTATTGCGATAAACGATAATATTGTTTCAAGACCTTTTGACACTGATTTAATGGAAATACATGCGATTTCCTGATATTTATTTTCAAAATAACACGTAACATTGGAACTGATAAACTAAATAAACAAAACAACCAAAAACAAAAATAAAATGGATTCTCAGTCTCCATTAACAAAAAACGTACTTGAATAAAAACTAAACAACATAAAGCCAAAGTGGAAATAAATACTGCATTCAACCAAAAGAGTGCAGATTATGAAGTCTGTATTGCCCTTCAGTAATCTCTAGATTTAAATAGAGAAAAAAGGCACATCCAACTTCCTAATGCAATAGTTCACACTACACCATTTTTTGCCCCTATTTTCCCCTTATGACAATCTTAGATCGTTGGCCGATCTGACCGATCACCCTGCAGTGTGTGGTGGGTTACGGTAGATCGTGGAGGCCGCTCCGATCTAAATCAGGGGTTTTCCCCGACTGGGAGCTTAACGCTGAATGTGACAGGTAGCCAATCAGAAACGCCGGATTCTCCTCCTGCTTTCTGAGGGGAAATTACGAGGGGAATCCCAAACAGCTGAAACAGCACAACCTGAAGTCCAGATGATATGTGGAAACATTAATATTTATTCAACATTAGTGCAAAGACTATAGAAATGACAAGGGGAGGAGTTGGAGCCCAATTGCTACCGCAGTTGATAAACCCGGTAGGTTTTCAGCTGTTCTTCGTTAACGTAACATAAATAGGTTATAATTATTTTCATTCAGTCAGGACTGTGATGCATGTGACAGGTAGATTCTAGTAAAGCACTGATTAATGCCTAATTTTAAAATTAGTTAACTGGACTTGTAGCCATTATTTTGTGCCCATGTGGCTGGACACCACTCGGCACGACACACCCGATCGAACCGTTATACCGTAGATTTCTGTCGGCTAATGTGTGGTCGCTCAGGGTTTGAAAATGGGCCGACGACTTGTGTAATGTGCGCTGGACATTAGACTAAGGAAATGAGGAAGGGAGGGTCAGTAGAGAGCACCGGAGCTGAGCCTTTTTTCATTCAGTGTCATCAACAGAAAGAAAAAAGGCAGGAAGAGACGATAAAGCCGATAATTAAAATGAGGTCGATAGGTTTAATTATCATCCGATTAATTGATTTATCGTTTATCGCGACAGGCCTAACTCCACCCATTTAATAGTTACTTAAAATATAACTCATTGACAAGTCCTTTGTTTGAAATGTATAAAAGACATCAAACTCTGATTATAAATGGGTGTGTTTGCAACAAACTGGTCTAGTCTGTCCACCCACACCTCAGTGCTGACGATGGGCAAGACTGAAGAAGGCTACACTAGTGTGTGCCGGGCATTGATCCAAACTGCAGTGAATCTTTCTGGTGATAAAAAAAAAACAACAAAAAAACAGGGACTTACCCACTTCATTTAATATAAAAAAAGAGCCTGTCATGTAAAAAAAAAAAAAAATATTGCGATCAAACTTACTTTCTAGTAATATACATTTAACACTGGAGTTGGAAAATATTTTAAGTGTCCAAAATAAGCAGCAGAAATGACTAAATAAATTATTTTTCTGTTCACATAATTGTCCTTTAACAAACAAAAAAAAAAAAAAAAAAAAAAGAAAGCTAGTTGAGCACAAAACCCCAGCCTGAAAAA